GGTTTAGGGGGTTTAGGGGGTTTTTAGGGTTTAGGGTTTAGGGGGTTTAGGGTTTAGGGGGTTTAGGGTTTAGGGTTTAGGGTTTGGGTAGAAGAATTGGGGTAATATTGGGATAGTATAGTTTCTCATAATGGAAAAGAAAATGGAAACTACTATAGTATATTGGGGTTATTCAAGGATAATGGAAAATGGAAACTACTATTTAGGGTTTAGGTTTTAAGGTTGTGGCTTTCGGCTTTAAGATTTTGGCTTTCGGGTTTATGGTTTTCTTTTCGGGGTTTAGGGTTTTGGATTTCGGGCTTAGGGTTTTGGCTTAGGGTCTTGGCTTTCGGGTTTGAGGTTCTGGGTATCAGGGTTTAGGGTGTTGGATTTAGAGTTTTGGGGTTTAGGATTTAGGGTGTAGGGTTTCGGGGTTCAAGGTGTTTTGTCTTGCGGGGTTTGGGTTTGGGCATTCTCTGGACAGTTGTCCTGCTAAGTAAGCCTAGATGAGTCAGAAATGGCAAGAGTCTTCTTGTTGGTTCCCAGTAGGGAACAAGGAAATATAAGCCTTGTATAATCTTGATATTGCATCTTCCCATATGCCCTACTGTAGACCCTGATTCATAAACCCCTTCCTTTTAAAAGGCCTCAACTTTAGGATCCCTATTATAATCCCCACTAAGGGGAGGGGGTTTATTAATAATGGGTTTACATTACGAAGAACTAAACCCTAAACCCTTAACCCTTAAAACCTGAGCGCTAACCATTAGACCCTAAACCCTAAACCCTAAACCCTAAACGTTTGAGATAGGCTTTTTGGCAGACGAGGGGCTCCAAGGTTAACGGGTAGCAAAACTACGTCAAGCATCAGGGAAGGTTTAGGGTTTAGGGCTGCGAGTTTAGGGCCCCTTTAAAGGGGTTGTGGGGACATTTAGGGTTTAGGTCCGGTATTCGGGTTGCAATAGTGGATCATCAAATGGAAAAGCAATGCGGAATGAAATAGAAAACTAGGCTTACGCAGTGGATTGTAGTCTTTTAGGGATAATTACCAAACATGTGGTTCTAGATTCCTTGTACAGGTGATAGAGGGTGTCTCGAATAGGGTTCAAATAGCCTGGTGACTTTTCCAGGCCCTAAACCCTACACCCACAACTCCACAACCGGCATAATTCTTTTATACAATTACCCCGCTCTAAGCTAACATAGAACGCCATGTAGCCCCCTTTCAAAACGGCGTTAGTCTTAATAAATCCCTTCTTAGGTTTCAATGTTAGGTCAGAAAATGTTTTCCTTAGATATGAAGGCCAATACTTACCCCCTTTGGTATATCCTCCCTATACAGGGGGAGGGTATGCTATAACCCTAAACCCTAAACCGTGAAACTCCAGGGATGTAATGAACGGGCCTCGGGATGCGAATTTGGCTCCTGCACAGGATTCGTTCGATATTCTAGAAAGCCTAAACCCTAGACAGAAATCCTAGACCTAGGGGGTTCATCGATTTTTGTCCTCCAACCCCAAATCCTAAACCCTAAGCCTATCTACATGGCCCTTGAAGGGTTGGGGAGTCCGAGCACCAATTATTGGTAGGCGTCCTTTCCATACTTGTAAGGACTGCTGTGTTTATGGCTCCGCTTTTGAGGTTCTATCTTCACTGGGTTGGCCTTTTGGGATATTGAAGTATTTCCCTTATTGGTTTCAAAAGGACCCTATATACCAACTTTCTTCAAAGGGCACCAAAGGCCAAACAAGTTAATTTTGGACGAGAGCGGATAGAGTGCAACGGGCTCTAGAAGATTACCTTGTAAGCCCCACTCAGTTTTGTAGGCCTACAATATGCCATGCCGCACCAGACTATCCTGAGGAAGTCGTGGCAGAAGGGACATAGGGTTTAGGGTGTAGGGTCAGGTAGTCTGTCACAATTGTGGATTCCTACTGCTTGGATTCCTTAAACGGGAACATTAGACTGTTGCTTGTAAAGCTCCTGCATGTCCTTAATATACTACAATACCATATAGTTCCCCAGGTGTAATGTACTTGGGGTCATGCAGGATCTTTTGCAGCCAACGTAATGCGATGCCCTAAGCCCTAAACCCTGAGCTACCCAAAGAATGACTGGAATTAACCCTAAACCGCCTAAACCCTAAGCCTAAATAGCAGCTTCCATTTTCGTTTCCTTTATCTCTATACATATCTCCTACATAACCCCATATAACTCCATATAACCTAAATACTACACCCTAAACCCGAATAAACAACCCCAAGGACTTTGCCACTGGCCTGGGCTCAGTGATGATGGGCATGGTGGCAGTCTCCATGTTGCTGAACTTCACTTAAAGGGTCTAGGGTTTAGGATTTAGGGTTTAGGATTTAGGGTTTAAGGTTTACGGTTTAGGGTTTAGGGCGTCTACCTGGGCAGGGCTGAGTATCCATGCGCCGATGGCGCCANNCCACCCCACTTCCAGGGATCTGTGGATGGCGGCACATGCTGCGCCCAGCGAACCCTCGTGGATGTTGCCGAAGAAGCCATGGAAGCTCGGCTTTCTTCAAAAGCCGCACCCGCTGTGAGAAGGCTACCACCCAAATTACTTCCTGTTAGGGTTTAGGGCTACGCCCTCAATTCCCGCCTCAAAAAGATCGTCTTCTTGCCTCTGATGTCAAGCAAACATCATGACGGGGCCACCGCAGGCAGAGCCTCCAGGACCCAAATAATAGGGCTTTAGGGCCCAAATACTATAATATTAATGGTAACCCTAAACCCTAAACCAAACCTAAACCCTAGTCCCTAAAACCTTCTTATTTGGGTCCAGGGGCCTTCAGGGGCCCAGGAGCTTCCAATTTGGCCCGCTGAAAATGGCTGGAGGCCGGGAGGAGCTCGGAGAGGCTCTATACGTTTAGGGTTTAGGGTTTAAGGGTTTAGGGTTTAGGTCCATTCTCCATAGACTCCTCCCATTGTCTTACCCAGTATGGGAGTAAAGGTTGACGTGTTTCTTCAGTGTTTGACCACCCAGTAATGGGTGGGAACGGCTTAAGCAGCCCGGGCGGGAATTTAGGGTTTAGGGTTTAGGATCTAGGGTTCAGGGTCGAGGGTTTAGGGGATATTACCCCCTTATGATGGAGAATCAAAGGTTTAGGGTTTAGGATCTAGGGTTCAGGGTCGAGGGTTTAGGGGATATTACCCCCTTCTGATGGAGAATCAAATGGAAAAGAAAATTGGACACTGGTTAAATCGAAGTTTATAGAGCCATTCTTACCTTTGGTTAAGTAGGAAGGAATGGATCCTTACAGCAGTCCCTATATAGCCCATTGTAGTAGTTTCCATTATTTCTTCCAGTCCTTCATTCCCAGCTAACCAAAGGTAAGATCAAGGAACCCTGGAGGGGGCGCCATGTAGTGCAAGGGACCCACAGTCAGAGGCTTAGGGTTTAGGGTTGAGGGTCTTTGACTGAAGCTTGCCGCGAGAAGATATGCTCGAGAACTTGATGAGCTACAGTCAAAGTAGGGGCGCCATAAGGCTCATGGGTAGCTGTGTAGGGTTTATTCCATTTGCTAAGGGTTTGGGGGCGGATTTTGAG